TGACCAAGGGGATGTTTTGGTGGAGGTTGTGGGGGGCAGCAAAGCAGGTTGTGGGGCAACAAAGCAGGTTTTGGGGCCACCAAGGCAGATTGTGAGGCCACCAAGGCAGATTGTGAGGCCACCAAGGCAGGTTGTGGGGCCACCAAGGCATGTTGTGGGGCCAGCAAAGCAGGTTGTGGGGCCAACAAGTGGTTCTTGGTTGAGGAAAGCCCTCCAAGAGGATCATAGGGGGGTCTAGGTCCCCCCACGGCGATGAGCTTGCAGGGCCTCAGCTCCTACCAGCAGCAGCAGCAGCAGCACCGCTGCGCCCAGCGCCAGGCGCACCGCGTTGGCCAGGGTGAAATCTGGGGGGCAGAGAGGAGGGTCCATAGGTCCACGGTGCCCCCTGCCCCATAAGTGCTTCCTGCTGCCCCCCAAGCTCCTCAGAGCATCCCCATGTCCCCAAATCCCACCATCTCCCCAAATTCCCCCATCTCCCCAAATTCCCCCATCTCCCCAAATTCCCCCATGCTCCCCATATTCCCTGGATACTCACCCGCATCCCGCTACCCCCTTCCCCAATGAGCACCAAATGCCCCCATTGCCCCCTGTTTTCAGCCACCTCAGGGGTCCGTGGGGTCTCATGCGTCTCCCAGCCCATCATTTCCCCCACTCCCTCCCATCCCATCAAATTCCCCCAGGAAAAATCCCTGCTGGTCCCTAGTGGGGCGCTCCCCATATTCCCTGGATACTCACCCGCATCCCGCTACCCCCTTCCCCAATGAGCACCAAATGCCCCCATTGCCCCCTGTTTTCAGCCACCTCAGGGGTCCGTGGGGTCTCATGCGTCTCCCAGCCCATCATTTCCCCCACTCCCTCCCATCCCATCAAATTCCCCCAGGAAAAATCCCTGCTGGTCCCTAGTGGGGCTACCTGGGGATGATGGTGGTGGGGAGGGTGTCCCGAACCCCCCAGGTGCCACCTCCAGTGTCACCTCCGCCCTGGGACATGAGGAGATGAAGGGGCGTCTTCGGGGACGGTAGGAGCACCCATAGGTGCCAGCGTCAGCCTGGGTCCCCCTGGGGATGGTGAAGGTGGCCGTGTCACCCCCGCCAAGACGCTGGTGCTGGATGGGGACGGAGCCGTTCGCCTTGTGCAGGAGGAAGGTGGCCCCGTGCGTGGACTGGCACCGGATGGTGACATTGGTCCCTGTCCCCACGCGTGTGCTGGGGGTCAGGGACATCGTGGGAGGCGGGTAGGTGGGATCTGTTCGGCAAAAGGACCAACGGTGGGACATGGGGACAACCTGGGAACATCTCCTGTCCCATTGGGAGGCCCATGTCAACACTTGGACATCTCCAGATCCATGGGGACACCATTCCCATTGAGATCCCTTCCTGGAGGGGAATCCTCAGAATTTCGGGAAACCCTTTGTCCCCTCACAGGGGGACCCCACTGCTCCATGGGGACACCCACTAAACCACGTGGTGACCCCCAGCACCCACTAAACCATGTGGTGACCCCCGGCACCCACCACCCTGTGTCCACCCCAGGGGTGTCCTCTGACCCCCCGCTTCCCCTGGGCACCCCAAACCCCTGGGAAATGACCCTGTCCCATGGAGGGGACCCCCAAATGGGGCTCGGGAGACCCTCACCCAGCACCACCAGATCCACGTGGTTGCTCAACGTCGAGTACCGGGACAACGCCGGGATCTCGTATCCGCACCGGTATCTCCCAGCAAATCCCTGCGTTGTCACTCGCAAGGGGACCTCGGCCGTGCCCTCCTCCTCCTGCTGCTGCCATTGGTACTTCCCGTCTCCCTCCTTGAAGATCACAACCCAGACCCCCGCTCGGGGCACGCGGCACCGCAGGGTGACCGTGTCCCCAAGGGCCACCTCTTGGCTGGGGTGCAGTGACAAAAAGGGTCTGGGCACTGGGGTAGGGGGACGGGGGTGAGTTGTGCCACCGGCCCCATGGCCTTGGTGACAGCCCCTTGCCCCCTAACCCTATGGATGTACCCACATGTCCCCCCGTCTTGTCCCCACCCCCTTCCTGTCCCTGTCCCCCTCCTCTGGCCACCCTGAAGCCCCTGTCCCCACTCGTGTCCCTGCACCCCATTAGCTCGGCTTGGCCCCGTGTCCCTCTGCTCATATCCCTGGTCCCCCAAACCTGTCCCCTGGCCCCTTGTCACCCATGGCCCCTGTCACCCCCCATCCCCAACTCACTTTCCTGCACCCCACTTGGCGTCACCAGCCACCAGCCTGGAGGGGAAAACGGGCTCATCGTGGGCTGCCCCAAGACTGGGGCGCGTTGTCCCCACGAAGGCCACCAACACCCTTGGTCAGAGTGTCCCCCGCAGAGCGGGGTGTCCTTGTCACTCCCCAGTGCTGGGGGGGGTCCCCGTCATTCCCCTTGTCACTCACCGAGGACCATCAGAACGGAGGCTGCCACCATGGAGGGTCTTGCTGTGGGGCTGGGGTTATGGAGAGCCAGGGCACCACCGTGTCCCCAACACCAGGCAGAAGGTGACAGAGCAGCAGGGGAAGTGGCACGGATGTGGTTACGGTTCCCCTTTTGGTAACGGTGACCTCATGGCACACCAGGGAGGCACCCGATGTCCCCCAGGGGGTGGCACATGATGGTGGCCCAATGGAGTGGTCACATATGGAGAGTCACAGCCTGTCCCCAAGGTGTGTATGCTGGGATGGTTAAAGCACATTTGGAATTAAAGGTCACAAGGGATGACAAGGACAACCAGAAGGGCTTCAAATCCATCTGCAGCAAGAGGAAGAGGAGGGAAAATGTGTCCCTGCTTCTGAATAGGGTTGGTGACAAAGGACACGGAAAAGGCAGTTACTGAAGGGCACCTTCGCTTTGGTCTTTATTAAGGCCAGGCCTCAAGCTCCTTTTCTTAAAAAAAAAAACAAAACCCTTTTTATGTCCTAATTAATCGTTAGCCTGATGATGGTTCTGGGTTATTTTCTGCCTCAATTTGTATGGGGGAGTTGCGAGTACAGGGAGAGGACAGGGGTGTGCAGGATACACGCGTGTTCACACGGGACACGTGGGTGCATGTGCACATGCAATGGGGTGGCCGCATGTTGCACACGCATGATCTGTGTCGCGGCGTGAGCATGCACACGCAAATGCACACGTGGGGACATGCAGTGGTGTGCAAGGTGCACACGCGTGTACAGCGGTGCACGTGCACATAGCGTGGTGCATGCGCACGTACAGCTGTGCATGCAAACATACAGCGGTGCACAATGGTGCACGTGCACGTACAATGATGCATGCGCATGTACAGCGATGCACGCTCATGTACAGCGGTGCACACGCACATACAGTGATGCACAGTGCATGCACACACACGTACAGCGGTGCACGCACACGTACAGCGGTGCATGCGTATATAGAGTGATGCATGCACACACATGTACACCGATGCACGTGCACGTACAATGATGCATGCGCATGTACAGCGATGCACACGCATGTACAGCGGTGCACACGCACATACAGTGATGCACACTGCATGCACACATTCAGTGGTGCATGCACACATACAGTGGTGCACGCACATGTACAGCGATGCACGCGCACGTACACCGATGCACGCGCATGTACAATGATGCATGCACATGTACAGCGATGCATATGTACGTACAGCGGTGCACGCCCACATATAGCAGTGCACACGCACGTATAGTGATGCACAGGGAATGCACACATAGCGCGGTGCACACACACGTACAGCGGTGCACGCACATATAGAGTGATGCATGCACACATAGAGTGATGCACACGCACGTACAGTGGTTCACAGTGCATGCACACATACAGCGGTGCACGCACACGTACAGCGGTGCACGCACATGTACAGCGATTCATGCACACGTACAGCAGTGCACGCGCATATAGAGTGATGCATGCACCCACAGAGTGATGCACACGCTCGTAAAGCGGTGCACGCGCACATGGGCACACGCACATGGTTCACTATGAGCGTGCGGTGCATCCGTGTTGCGGCGAGCATGCAGAAAGCACATCTAATGCACACGCGTGTTGGTGTGCATGTGTGGAAAACGCACACGCAGGGGGCCACAAGGCGCACATACAATGTCATACGTGGGGCACACATACAGGTGCACACGTGGGTGTTAAGGGGGCTGGTGAGTTTTTGAGGGTCCTGGGTGTCTTTTAGTGATGCTGGGGTTGGGTCAAGGAGCTGTGCAAGGTCTTGAGGGTCTTTGCACTCCTTGGGGTCTCTCCTATGGCCCAAAACCCCATGTCCTGGGTGTTAAGGGGCCTGATGAGTTTTTGAGGGTCCTGGGTGTCTTTTAGTGATGCTGGGGTTGGGTCAAGGAGCTGTGCAAGGTCTTGAGGGTCTTTGCACTCCTTGGGGTCTCTCCTATGGCCCAAAACCCCATGTCCTGGGTGTTAAGGGGCCTGATGAGTTTTTGAGGGTCCTGGGTGTCTTTTAGTGATGCTGGGGTTGGGTCAAGGAGCTGTGCAAGGTCTTGAGGAGCTTTGCCCTCCCTGGGGTCTCTCCTATACCCCAAAACCCCATGTCTTGGGGGCTGGTGAGTTTTTGAGGGTCCTGGGTGTCATTTAGTGACACTGGGGTTGGGTCAAGGAGCTGTGCAAGGTCTTGAGGGGCTTTGCACTCCCTGGGGTGTCTTCTATCTCCAAGAACAAGTGGTGGCTCCCCATGTGGGGCTAGAACTTTATTAATCCGGGGGACAGGGCGTTCCGAGGGGGTCAGCGTGGCCCTTGGTGGACCACCTCGGCGTAGAGGACGCAGGAGGTGGGAGCAGGGTGGACCCTCGGGGCTCTGGGTGCTGTTGGCTGCAGCTCCGTGTACATCAGGCCATCGGTGTCCTCCTGGGTACATGTGGGGACACACATCAGTATCTGCCCCATCGCTCCGCAGGTCCAGAGGGCAAGTATGGAGGAGATGGGGCCCCTTGGGTGGGTTTGGGGGTTCCCTAGGGCCTCAGTCCGAGGATTGCCATGGGATGGGTATTGTGTTCCCCATGGCTTGGGTCCCCATGAGGTGGAGTGGAGCTGTGATGGCTTTGAGAGTCCCTATGAGTTCTAGGAGGCTTTATGGATTGGGTGTTCCTCATGGGAAGGTATCAGGGTACCATGGGATGGTCACTGAGGTCCCTATGGGGCTTGGAAGGGGGTAGATCGAGGCTTGGGAGATCCAATGGGTCTGGAGATGGTGCGGCCACAGATTGGGTATGAGGTCCCCATGAGGTGGAGTGGAGCTGTGATGGCTTTGAGAGTCCCTATGAGTCCTAGGAGGCTTTATGGATTGGGTGTTCCTCATGGGAAGGTATCACGGTGCCATGGGATGGTCATTGAGGTCCCTATGGGGCTTGGAAGGGGGTAGATTGAGGCTTGGGAGTCCCCAGGTGCAGGTTGGGCTTTGAGGAGCCCTCAAGAAGCCCCAGACCAGATACTCACCATGGGCTGCAGTGACCTGAGGTCAGGCGGAGAGGAACCTATGGCAGAGAGGGATTGGGTATTGCCAGAGTCATGGCAGGAATGGAGATGTTTCAGGCCATCTTGAGGTCCCTGGAGGTCTCAGGGATTTCTCGGGGGGCTTCCAAGGGTTGTGGGGATTCAGAGGCTGCTCATGGTCATAGCAGGTCTCAGGACCTTCTTAGGTTGGGGATGCCCAATGTGGGGGCGATCGGGCCCTGATTGGGACCATGGGGGGATATTGTAGGTGGGGTCATGGGGACCCTGTGGTTGATACTCACCCACCCTGTCCTGGGAGAGCAGCTCAGAAGAAACCCTGGGGAGACAAGAGCTGAGAGAACCTGGGTGTCCAGGGCTCCCTTCCCCTGCAACCTGTCCCCATCCGCCCTTCCCGCACCCCAATTTGGGGACCCTAGGAGCCCCCCACTCTCTAAATCCACCCCAAAGAGGCCAGACCCCCAACCCGCAATGGGAACCCAGGTGTCTTTGGTGCTGGGGGGGCCCCTTTCCTACCTCCTCGGTGCCGTGGTGGAACCTTTTCCTGTGCAACCAACGTGGATGTTGGGGTGCGAGGGAATGGGGCAGTGGAGACACCCTCCTCCTAGGGACAATGGGGACACCACAATGGGGACACCTCAGAGACAGCTCCCCGGATATTAGGGACCCCCTGGGGACAGCAGGGACCCACCAGTGTTTGAGGAACGCCTTAAGGTCAGTGGGGAGAACCCTCCTTCCAGGGCTTCCCAGGGACAGCTGGGACTCCCCAGGACATTGGGGACAAGCATGGGGACAGCAGGATAATGAGATGTCCCCATCCCTGAGAACAGTGGGAGACCAGAAAACCCCATTCCCTCAACTACAGCTGGGGGTCTATAGGGGAACCAAGTGGCTCTTGGAAGGTCATGGTCATGTAGGTGACTCCTTGGCATGTAGGTGATGGACACTTAGGGACTCAGGGGACCTATAGGGTACAGAGCGGGTATGGGAGGGATATTGGGGTCTGAAGGGGAACCCAGGGATGTAGATGATGCTTGGGGACATGAGCTGTCCCTATAGCGCTAAGGAGGTGGCTCTGGGCAGGACAGGGTATCTATTGGGAACCCAGGAATGTAGGTGACATTTGTGAGTCAGGGGACCTAGAGGGGACCCTGGGGGACAGAGGGAGCTCCTGGAGGGACATGGGGGTCTGAAGGGGGACACAGTGATGCAAACGATGCTTGGGTACATAGGGGCTCTATAGGAGACCTGGGGGTCAGAGGGAAGGACGTGGGGAATCCTGGCAATGCAGGTGAAACTTGTGGCCTCAGGGGACCTCTAAGGGACTCTGGAGGACACAGATGGTTCTGGGAGAGACACGGAGGGCTGCAAGGAAGCCCAGAGATGCAGGAGACAGGAGGGTCGTATTGGGGACATCAGAGCTGGCTCTAGGAGGGACATAAAGGTCCAAAGGAGATTCCAGAGGCACATGTGACAACTGGGGACATGGGTCATCTCTAAGGGACCCAGAGGGTCACAGTTGACTCTGGGAGGGCTCTAGGGGATGCAAGTGAATCTTGAGGGCATGTTCTTACACCTGGGGATCCCATGGGGATTCCTAGAGAATTCCAAGGTTCTCACCACGCTGCCTCCTGCGGCACCAGGCATAGGTGAGGAAGATGAGGGTGATGATGAGGGCAGCTGCGCAGCCTCCCACCACGGGCAAGATCCAGCCAGGCTCTTCCTTGGTGCCTACAACTGCAACAAGGTGCTCAGCCCATCCGTGCCACCCACATAGATGGGTCCTCAACAGGGTGCTCTGCCCCCTGCCTCATGTCACCCTTGGGTGCCCTTGGCCACTTCCTCCCCGAAGGGGACAGAAAACGATGACAATGGCCAGGGCTCATCAAGGGCTGGACCTCCTGGCACACAGAGAGGACATTTGGGATGGGAAGGGGGTTTGGTCCTACCTGGTGGTGGCCTCACAGGTGCCACCTCCAGCGTCACTTCGGCCCTGGGGTGCGAGGAGATGAAAGGGTTTTCTTGGGGACGGTAGGAGCACCCATAGGTGCCCGTGTCAGCTTGGGTCACCCCGTGGAGGGTGAAGGCGACCGTGTTCCCCGTGACGATGCGCTGGATGGGGTCCGAAGTGCCGGCCTTGTACAGGACGAAGGTGGCCCCGTGCGGGGACCGGCAGCAGATGGTGACGTTGGTGCCCGTCTCCACGTGTCCCCTTGGGCTCAGTGACAATGTAGGCGGGGGGAAGCTGGCGTCTGCTCGGCGGGAGAGACAAGGGGACATGGCCACTTGGGGTCACTGTAGGGCTGTTCTGGGTCAAAAATGGGACACTCGGGGTATCCACAAGGGCATCCCCAGACCCATGGGAAACCGGGGACACTGCCACCCCCAGAAGAATCCCATTGGGATGCCCTTCACACAAGGGACTCTCCAGAATTCTGGGAAAACTTCTGTGTCCCCCCCAGAACACAGAGGGACCCAAGGCACTTGGGGACACCCATGGAAACCCCCTAACCATGCTGTGACCCCCAGGAACCCATGGCCATCCAGGTCATCCACTGCCCCTTGGGGAACCAAAACCCCCCAACGTCACCCCTCTCCCATGAGGGGGACAACCCAGTTCCACTTGGGGCTCACCCAGCACCACCATCTCCACGGGGTCACTCCAATCGGTGGCCCAAGTTGGTGCCAGAATCTCGTATCGGCACCGATATCTCCCACTAATTTCATTCGTTGACGCTTGCATCGAGACCTCGGTCGTGTCCTGCACCCCATCCTGCTGCCATCGGTAATTCCCATCTCCCTCCTTGTAGACGATGACCCGGACACCCTTCCGGGGCACGTGGCACCGGAAGGTGACGTTGTCCCCCAGTGCCACCTCCTCACTGGGGTGCAGCGACAGGGAGGGTCGGGGTGCTGGGGAAGGAGACAGCGGTTCTTAGTGACATGTTTGCACCCATCAGCATGTCCCTGTCCCCATGCTCATGACATCCCCATGTCCTCCTACCCTGGAGCTGTCTGTCCTTGTCCCCCCTTCTCCTCCTGTGACCGTCCTCATGTCCCCACTCTCTAGACCCCATCCCTGTTCTCACCAACCCCTAATGGCCCCCATTAGCCCCCTGTACTCCCCAAATATTATCCCCCCATAGCCCAAACACCACCCCGTCCTCCTGCCCATACCCACACACAACCCATAGCCCCTGTCCCTCCTTCTCCTTCTGTGACCGTCCTCATGTTCCCACTCTCTAGACCCCATCCCTGTTCTCACCAACCCCTAATGGCCCCCATTAGCCCCCTGTGCTCCCCAAATATCATCCCCCCATAGCCAAACACCACCCCGTCCTCCTGCCCATACCCATAGCCCTGGTCCCTCCAGCTTTGGAGGTTCCTCCAGGAACCTCAGTTCTACCTGGTTGTTGTGACACAGGATGGTCCATGCTGGGTCCCCCTTCTTCCAGCTCCAGGGTTACCTCGCTCCGGGGGTGCGAGGAGACGAACGGGTTCCCTCGGGGATGGTAGGAGCACCCATAGGTGCCTACATCAGACTGGGTCACCCCATAGAGGGTGAAGGTGGCCGTGTTGCCCCTGCTAAGGGATTGGCGCTGGATGGGGGCTGAGATGCCAGCCTTGTGCAGGAGGAAGGTGGCACCATACGTGGACCAGCACGAGACGGTGACGTCGGTGCCCGGCTTCACGCGTCCCCCGGGGCTCAGGGACATCACGGGCGGGGGAAAGTTGGGATCTGGTCAACAGAAGAACAGGCGGTGGGACGTGACCCTGAGGGGACACCCGTATAAAGACCCCAGGAACGCTCCCAGGACCACAAAGCACCCATGGGAACCCCTTTATCCCCTGCAACTGCTCAAGAGAAGATGCTGGGACCCCTCCAAGGACATTCCCAGGCCCATGGGGACCCTCTCAGAACCACAGGGACACCATGAGGACTCCTTTCCTCTAAGGAAATCTATAGACTTCTCGGAATTCCTTTGTCCCCCTCAGCCCACAGAGATACACCAGGTACCTGCTGCTCCATGGGGACACCCAAGGCACCCTTAACTCATAGAGTGGGGCTCCATGGGAACACCCAAGGCACCCATAGAGTGGGGCTTCATGGGGACACCCAAGACACCCTTAACCCATAGAGTGGGACTCCATGCGGACACCCAAGGCACCCTTAACTCATAGAGTGGGGCTCCATGGGAACACCCAAGGCACCCATAGAGTGGGGCTTCATGGGGACACCCAAGACACCCTTAACCCATAGAGTGGGACTCCATGCGGACACCCAAGGCACCCTTAACTCATAGAGTGGGGCTCCATGGGAACACCCAAGGCACCCATAGAGTGGGGCTTCATGGGGACACCCAAGACACCCTTAACCCATAGAGTGGGACTCCATGCGGACACCCAAGGCACCCTTAACTCATAGAGTGGGGCTCCATGGGAACACCCAAGGCACCCATAGAGTGGGGCTTCATGGGGACACCCAAGACACCCTTAACCCATAGAGTGGGACTCCATGCGGACACCCAAGGCACCCTTAACTCATAGAGTGGGGCTCCATGGGAACACCCAAGGCACCCATAGAGTGGGGCTTCATGGGGACACCCAAGACACCCTTAACCCATAGAGTGGGACTCCATGCGGACACCCAAGGCACCCTTAACTCATAGAGTGGGGCTCCATGGGAACACCCAAGGCACCCATAGAGTGGGGCTTCATGGGGACACCCAAGACACCCTTAACCCATAGAGTGGGACTCCATGCGGACACCCAAGGCACCCTTAACTCATAGAGTGGGGCTCCATGGGAACACCCAAGGCACCCATAGAGTGGGGCTTCATGGGGACACCCAAGACACCCTTAACCCATAGAGTGGGACTCCATGCGGACACCCAAGGCACCCTTAACTCATAGAGTGGGGCTCCATGGGGACACCCAAGGCACCCATAGAGTGCGGCTTCATGGGGACACCCAAGACACCCATACAGTGGGGCTCCATGGGGACACCCTTAACCCGCACAGTGACCCCCAGCACCCCAAAGCCCCTTGGCCTCCCTAAGGGTACCCGCTGACTCCTGGCATCTCCTGAGCATCCCTAACCCCCAGATCCCTCTTCATGGGGGACCCCAGCACCACCCTGGTCTCAGGCTGGGACTCACCCAGCACCACCAGCTCCACGGGGTTGCTGACACGTAAAAACCGGGATAACGCTGTCATGTTGTACTGGCACCGGTATCTCCCGGCAAAGTCCCGTGTCACCACATTCACGGAGACCTCGGCCGTGTCCTCCACCCTGTCCCACTGCCATTTGGGCTCCCCATCTTCCTCGTAAATGGAGACTGGGACATTGGGATGGGGCACACGACACCGCAGGGTGACCGTGTCCCCCAGGGTCACCTCCCGGCTGGGATGCAGCGACAGGAAGGGTCGGGGCACTGGGACAAGGAAAGAGCAGCGAGCTGGCCACCGGCCCCATAGTGTTGGTGCCACCTCGGAGTCTCTCATCCGCCAACCCTTGTCCCCTGGTTGTCCCCATGGTGCCACCGGTGTCCCCATGTACCCCTCGCCTTGTCCCCCAACTCCCACTCACAGCCCTTCTTCTTGTCCCCATGTTGTGACCACCCTGTCCCCACTCACACTCGTGTCCATGCCCCACATTGGTCCATCCCTGCTCCGTTCATGTCCCTGTCACCCTCCCACGCCTGGCCCTGGACTTTGCCCTCCCCTGTCCCTGCTGTCCCCATGGCCCTGTCCCCATCCCCAACTCACCTCCCTGCGCCCCTCTCGGTGCCACCAGCCACCAGCCTGCAGGGGACACGGGCCTTGGTGTCTGCAGATGTCCACAGGCCACCAACACCCAGGCACAGGGTGACACAAGGGACCGGGGTCCTTGTCACCCCCTGCAATGCGGGGGTCTCCCCATCACTCACCGAGGCCCAGCAGGACGTGGACGACTGTCATGGAGGAGCTGTGTCCTATGGTGCCATCCAGGACGGTGACACCGGAGGGGACACGGGGAGCCAGCACAGCTCTGCCCAGATGCCCCTCGCACCGGGCGGGAGGTGACAAATCGGCGGGGGAAGCGGCCACAGAAGTAGCTGCGGTTCCACTTGGGGACAGGGTGACGTGATGTCACCCCGGGGAGGAGGCACATGAGGGGTGGCCCGCTGTCCCCATGGGGACACGCGTGGAGGACCACGGAGTGGCCCACAGGTCAACTCCCCTCTTGGGTGGGGGCCACCAGCTGTCCCCAAGGGGCTGGCATGACATGGGGCCATATGCCCAAGTTTGACCCTGCTCAGATGTCACCGGTGGCACTGGATTCTCCGCATGTCACCTCTGGAATGTCCTTGGGGACAAACATTGTTGGACCATCGCACGCCGTTGGTCCCAAGCAAAGTGTCACTAGCAGATGCTGCTCAGTGTCACATGTGGGACATCTTATGGGATCCCTATAGGTTGGGTCACTTGTAGAATTCCAGATTTGGGTCTCAATGGAGGTCCCAAAGACACAACAAGGAGCTTCTGAACCTGGAACTGGCTAATAGAGCTCGTTGGAGCAATGAAGGTTGGGGACAACCTTGGTTGCAGTGAGGATGAGGTGGTGGAGGGCAGAATCCTGTGAGGAGGAAGCACAGAGGTGAGCGGGATCATAACCTTGGACGTGAAGCTCAGATCTCTTTGGGGATCAACCTGGATTAATCCTACGGGTCCTAGAAGGAAGACAGGTCCAAGAGAACCAATGCCAATATCACGTTCTCCAATGCAGATGTTCTCTCAATGTGGATATTCTCATCAATGTGGATGAGCAAAGAGCTCCGGAGGAAAACCCATGTCCCACCGGTCTTCCAAAAGGCCAAGGGGGAAGAGCCAGGTGACAACAAGGCCAGTGGGCATCATTCCCAAAAAGGACGGAGACACAACCCAGAGACACTCTCCAAAAGGCAGCATGAAAAAAACTCTCAGAAAGGGCAAATTTACCCCAAAAGACAGGGGAAAAACTTTCCCCAAATGACAATTCCATCCCCAAAGCACCAAATAAAGCTGGCTAAAATAGCCCCTTCTCCCCGCAGCGCGATGAGCGATGGTTTGTGTTATTTTGGTTTTTAGCAAGCCTTGAGTCGCTTCCTGCGAGGTGGTGGCAGGTTCATTTGTGGTGGCCAAATGCTCTTTTACTTCTTGTTTTGTTTTTCTTTTTTTTTCTTTTTTTTTTCTGAATTAACCATCGGAATCGAATTAACACATAACAATGTGTGTGCGGTGCATGCATGCATGGAGAGCACGCACAATGTGTGTGGGGTGCATGCATGCATGGAGAGCATGCACAGTGTGTGTGTGGTGCATGCATGCATGGAGAGTGTGCATGATGTGTGTGTGGTGCATGCATGGAGAGCATGCACAATGTGTGTGGGTGCATGCATGGAGAGGGTGCACAATGTGTGTGTGGTGCATGCATGCAGAGTGTGCATGATGTGTGTGCGGTGCATGCATGCAGAGCATGCACGATGTGTGTGTGGTGCATGCATGGAGGGCATGCACAATGTGTGTGGGGTGCATGCATGGAGAGCGTGCACAGTGTGTGTGCAGTGCATGCATGCATGGAGAGCGTGCACGATGTGTGTGCATGATGTGTGTGCAATGCATGCATGGAGAGCATGCACAATGTGTGTGCGATGCATGCATGCAGAGCATGCACGATGTGTGTGTGGTGCATGCATGGAGGGCATGCACGATGTGTGGGGGGTTGTGGAGAGCGTGCATGATGTGTGTGGGGTGCATGCATGGAGAGCATGCACAGTGTGTGTGCGGTGCATGCATGCAGAGCATGCACAGTGTGTGTGCGGTGCATGCATGCAGAGCATGCACAGTGTGTGTGCGGTGCATGCATGCAGAGCATGCACAGTGTGTGTGCGGTGCATGCATGCATGGAGAGCATGCATGATGTGTGTGCAGTGCATGCATGCATGGGGAGTGTGCATGATGTGTGTGAGGTGCATGCATGGAGACCATGCACAATGTGTGGGGGGTTCATGCATGCAGAGCATGCACAGTGTGTGTGCGGTGCATGCATGCATGGAGAGTGTGCACAGTGTGTGTGTGGTGCATGCATGCAGAGCGTGCACAATGTGTGTGCAGTGCATGCATGCAGAGCGTGTACAGTGTGTGTGCGGTGCATGCATGGAGAGCATGCACAGTGCGTGTGCAGTGCATGCATGCATGGAGAGTGTGCATGATGTGTGTGTGCTGCATGCATGCAGAGCGTGCATGATGTGTGTGCGGTGCATGCATGCAGAGCATGCACGATGTGTGTGTGGTGCATGCATGGAGGGCATGCACGATGTGTGGGGGGTTCATGCATGCAGAGCATGCACAATGTGTGTGTGGTGCATGCACGCATGGAGAGCGTGCAGAATGTGTGTGTGGTGCATGCATGCATGGAGAGAGTGCACGATGTGTGTGCGGTGCATGCATGGAGAATGTGCATGATGTGTGTGCAGTGCATGCATGCACAGTGTGTGCGCGGTGCATGCATGGAGAGCATGCACAACGTGAGTGCAGTGCATGCATGGAGAGGGTGCACAATGTGTGTGGGGTGCATGCATGCATGCAGAGCATGCACAAGGCATGCATGATGCACCCTTGTGAAGGTGGCCTGCACGCATGCACAACACGTCATGGGGACACAGCAGTGTCCTATACAGTGCCAGCATGTGGGGCAGTGCATGCATGTGAACACGCATGCACAAGCAATGCAGGTCTGCACCGCAGCTCCTGCATTGCACACAGCAATTGCAGCTCCACATACAACAGCCCCTCACTGCAAAGGGGGGAAACACCCCCCCAAAACAGCGATACTGTCCTCAAAAAGCAAAATAAACCCCCTAAAAAAGCCCTTTCCCCCCAGTGCAAGGGACAACATTTTGTGCAGTTTTGGTTTTACAAAACCATCAATCACTTCCTGAGAGGCGGCATCCGCTTCGTTTGCGGTGGCCCAATGCTCATTTACTCCATTTATTTTTTCTCACCTTTTTTTTTTCTTAGTTTTTTCCATCAGCCTGATGATTTCTCACTTTTTGATTTTTTTTTTTCCATCATTCTGTTGATGGTTTCAGTGTTATTTACACTTTTCTTTGCACTGGGTGTTCCCAGGGGTCTCAGTTACTGTATATGGGACTATTGGGGACTTTTTGTTGGGCTTTGTGGCCTTTTTTAACGGGGGATCTACTTGGAAAAGTAAAATTAGCAGAACCAATAAGAGCAGAATTAAAGCCAAAGCTGATAAGATGAAGAAAATATGCTACAAATTTGAAACATTTCATTGGACTAAGACCTATGATTAATAAACTTCCACAATATAGACGATTGCAAGAGCAAAGTCACTTTTGAATGGGAAAGCTGCAGAGCGGAACACAAATAATCAGGGTAATGGGTAATTTGAAAAACAAATATATATATAAAGAAAAAAGGAAGCAAGGAAAAAAAGAGACGACATCCACCGTTTTCCACTCTCCTGCCCATCCATTCACTCCATCCATGACTATTCCTCATATCCTCATCATGGATGAGTTGTTCCATCAGTTTTCCAGGGATTGAAGCCAACTATCCCTTAGTTTTCTGTCCCTTCCTCCTTGAACTTTTGGAAAACCCATATAATAATGGTTTTCCTCCAGTCCTTGGGCACTTTTCCTGTTCTCCATGATGGTCCAAGGTGATGGAGAGTCGCCCATCACTCGCCAAGGAGCAGCAGGACATGGACCATGGGACATCATGGACCATGGAGACCATGGGGCAGGATGAACCAGGTCCTGGCATTGGTTGAGGACAGCAGCACCGGAGGGGACACCCATGGATGTCCCCAGATGTCCCCCACACCAGCTGGGAGAGAAGTGACCACAGAGGCACTTTCGGTCCCCCATGGGATCAGGGTGACGCGACGTCACCCCACAGAGCCACCGACTGTCCCCAAGGGGGTGACACAATGGAGAGGGGTGACCCACAACCCTCAAGGTTGGTGGGGGAGGAACAACCGAGGACATCCTGGCCCAGCCACCTCCGAGTGACACCTCTGGTCCCCAAGCTGGTGGCCCACAAGGCGGGGAGGTGGTGGCATTCACAGCCCATCATACATGTCCCCAAGCATTAGGACACCAGGGTGGCACCCTTGGAGTGTCCAGCAACGTCCCTGGCTTTCAGGGTGTTTCTTACCACCAAGTTCCTTGAGGTCCGTCGCTGTCCTAACTGCAACCAAAAGCAGCACGATTCCACCCAGCGAGGAATTCTCACTGTTTTCTTCTCGATTTATTTCAACACGGAAGGACTCTAAGCAAAGACCTAAAAAAGAGACTTTTTTAAGAAAAAACAAAGTGCTGGTAAAGCAACAGAGCGCAGGGGGATCCCTTTGCACCTCCCAGTGAGAACAGAAAAAATCAGAACTAGGGAAAAGAGCTCGAAAAGGAGAAGGTCCCACCGAGATTTGAACTCGGATCGCTGGATTCAGAGTCCAGAGTGCTAACCATTACACCATGGGACCGGCCCGCGCTGGCAGCGCCGCCGGGCCCCACAGGTGCCGCGGGGGTTCAAAATTCCCACAAAAGCGCAGCTAAAGCGCAGCCCGCGGAGCCCCGGAGGGAAACGGAGAGGGGGAAGCGGCGGCGGCTCCGCGCTGAAAAAGCAAAAACCGAAGGCGCCCGCACAAGGGGCTGAACCCAGTCTGATGCTCTGCCGACTGAGCTATCCGGGCTCTTGATTGTGCCAACCCAGCGCCGCTTCATGGAGCTTCCCGAATTTTGGGCAGGATTTTGGCACAGCGGGGTTGGCAGCGGCGCTGGAGCAAGGGAAAAGCGCTGGGGCTGCCATGGCCGGCCAGGCACGGCAGGAGGAGGAGGCAAAGGTGGCTCTGGCAAACTTTAGGGCTAAAAAAAATATATAATAAAATTGGGGGTATTATCGGGAAATAGAGG